AGCCCAGGCTCAGTTTGTTTTTGTTTTTTTTTTTTTTTTTTTTTTTTTTCTCCTCCCTCCTCTCTCTCCAGGGCTCACGCGCGGCTTGCTGAGCTGTTCAGGGTGATGCAAGAAACCCTGGCTTTCAAAATCACCTTTAGAACAAATGTTTTCTTGCCAGGCGGCTCTCTGGGGCCGGGGAGAAACTGTTGCAGTTGCTGCGGTTCCGATTAAATCAAGCAAATGGCTGCAGTGCAGCTGGTTGAAAACAAGGAGTTTCTTTGAGCCCTGCAATCTTTGTTGGCGCCGTTATTGCTTTATTGGTCCCTTTAGCAAGCTCTAGCTCTCACCTATGTGTTGTGCTGCCAGCAGGGACGTGCTAGATGAGAACGTGAGCAGGGACCTGGCTCCTTTCTCTTGTGACAGACAATATCCAGTATCTTGCGGGGCTCAGTCTTGGTACAAACATCTGTGGTTCTGTAATTGTATCGGATGTTTGGATGTGGCCAAGGCCTGGGGGATTTTCGGTTGCTTGTTTTGAATCTATGTAATGTCTCTGTGTAAGGAGCTCTCTACCAAAAAGGATGGAAGTGTTTGTGAGATGTCTGCTACTCGGGCTAAGAACACTCTAAAATATCAGTGTCTGTTAGAAGAATAATATTCCAGAATAAATCTGCTTCTCCCCAGTCTATAAGACAGTGAATACAGGACCGATCCTATCTGCGTGCATCCAAATAAATTCTCTGCCAATCCAGCACATTTGGGTTTAACGTTGCTTAATTTCAATTAAATTGAATGGATTGACCCTCTGGTAAAAGGAAAGAAGAGTCTGAATTGAAATGTTTTATTGTTCATGATGTTAATAGCCACCACCTAACTAGTTCATGTTAACTTTGGTCATCTTATCCGCCAGGTTACTGGTTATTTAGATGACTGCACCTGTGACGTGGAAACTATTGATGCCTTCAACAACTACAAGCTTTTTCCTAGACTGAATGAACTTCTGGAAAGTGACTATTTTAGATACTACAAGGTATTTCTTTCATATGAGAATTATGTTTGTGTGTCTTTTTTTTAATATCTCTAAAAGTTATTGCTGATTTTTTTTTTAAATCGGATATACCATTTTAATCCTCTTCTTAGGAATATGGTCAGCAAGTGTGACTTCTGTTATCAAGACAGTCTAAATGCGATGCCAGTTGCTTATAAAATAGACTTCTTAAAGAGTGTTCTTTTTTTTTCTCTTAACAGCTCAAGCAGTAGGCCAATGAAATGCTTTTTTTTCTTTTTTTTTTCTTTTTATGCTGAGTGAGGACTCAGAAATGTTGATGGCAAGGATCAATATTGCATGACGAGAATGTCTGACAAATAAGCTAGACTTTTCCTGTCAAATTTAAGACACTAAGGTCAAGCAGACAAGGTAATTGCTATTACTGCCAGACTGCTGTCCATTCAGTGAGGTTACTTGTGTGCCTCTGCCTGGGTTTGCTTGTGTGTGGTGGGGCTGTGCAGCAGTATTTTCCTTGCTGGATGCAGGTGCTTCTCAGGCCTCTTGCCTGATCATGTCTGCAGACAAGACAAGTGTTTGCACTTCTTAAAGAACAGTTTTAAAAGCTCCCTGCTCCACTGCACTACAGAGCAGCACAAATCCATACAAAATCACCAGGGTAGAGCTGCCCCTTCCTGCTGCCTCTCAAACCTACAAAACCTTGCTAAGTGCTAGTCATTCTAGAACAACTGCACTGGCTACCAATTGACAGCAAAGCAAGCCCAAGGTACGTTCAATATTCCTTACAAAGAGTTATGCTGAGCTCAGGTGAGTGCTCTTAAACCCCAGCACCTTCAGCCATTACTTCTCAAACTTTAGGCAGATGTTGTGGGTAATGGAACCTGTTTGCTTTGTCTCTTTTTTTTTTTCTTGTATTTAATTTGAGTACTTTCTCACAGTAATATTCACCCTGTACAGCGACCCAGCCAAAGGCTATTCTGTGGGCCTAGAGCACCAGGCTAAGTCTTATCATAGATGAAACTTTTTAAAGAAACTAACATGCTGTCCCATGTTCCCATGGGACATCTCCCATGTTGAGATCTGAAAAACAGTATTAAGATTGATCTGAGTGCCATATGAATGGAAATGTCTGTATAAAAGTACCAGAGGAATCAGAGCAAAGATTTAAAGAACGGGTGATAATGAAGGATATGAGTGACAGCAATGAACTTGGTAAGTGCCAAAGGATTTGTTGTTCCCATGCTGCCCAGAAGGCTTGCACACCAAATCCAGAAAAAAAGGGTGATTTGACAGCAGAAGAGCTGTGCTGTGGCCATAGCAGGATGGCAGCAAGGTAACAGCCCATGAGATACCGGATAGGAGGCAGGCTGTAATCATAAGATGCCCAAAATGTGAAAACTGAGACAGTGAGTAGCAAAGGGACCAAAGCTTCCCAGAGAACGAAGTGAGCAATATTCTGAGGGCAAAGATTGCCACACAGTAACTGTTGTCTTCTAGAGGGTAAAAAAACAAATCTTGTACCACATGACTGACCAGAAGAATTTGTCATTGCCCAACAAGAAGAGCCTCAAGATAGGGTGAGGACTCAGGGCCAATGTGCCCTGTCTTCTGGATCACCAAAAATAGTCCTGGCCAGACCATATCTGGCGTAAGTGAACGAATGTTAGTGGCTGAAATCAGTTTTGTTTTAACATCACTTTCCTCTTGCACTTTCCCTTCCACAGTCTAAGTCCTCTCTGAGGATCTTGGTTATGTTTTGTCTGAGTTTTGCTAAGCGTTGTACCAAAACATTGAAGATAGGTGCTGTTGGTTTGGTGGTATGGAGAAATGCGTAACAGTATAATGTGGTTTTTGTAGGTAAACTTAAAGAAACCCTGTCCTTTTTGGAATGACAACAGTCACTGTGGAATAAGAGACTGTGCTGTAAAACCTTGCCCATCTGTAAGTATAAAATCTATCCACTTACCTCTTTCTGTGTGCAGCTTTTGTGGACAAGAGGGGGGAAAAAACAGGCAGATGAATTAATCCCCTGGGTTTTGTAGCTTTAGTAGAAGTGTGGCTCTGGTGGAGCTTTCTTAGCAACAGTAGTAGCAATGCAGTAGTACTGGGGTCCTTGAGAAGAGCTGAAATACTAAATTCTTAAGGTTTAAAGGAAGTCTAAGCTTCGAGTAGCTGACCATGAATGCCAAAAATTTGTTCTGGTCCCTCTTTTATTTTGGACATCAATTAAATGATTTCTCAGGCGAATCCGCTGTGCTTAAAAGAAGCACCTCTTGTGTGAATCGCCTGGATACTCACTCTGTCAGCCTCTGGGCCACACTGCAATTTGCTTTTTTGGCTAATTAATGCCCTTGCAGATTTTCCAGCAGTCTCTGTAACATAAAATGGCTCTTTCAGGCCCTTCTGTTCTCTAGTACAAAAGCAGACACTCTTGTGTTTGCATCCTGGACAAAACACTAGAAATTTTGCCTGCACTGAACTGAACAAAAGCATCTTGGCTGGAGTCTGTCTGAAAAAGGGGAGAGTGAGTGAATTAGAAATTGGTTGCTGGATTGATAGATCTAGTAAGAATGCCACCCAGCATTCTGGTTTTGTGGCTCAGTTACCAGCAACCAATTATCTTGCACTCTCAAGCCCTGTTTGCCACATATTTTCAATGTCACTATAGTTTATTTTCATGCATAATTTAAAGAATAATGCCTTGGAAGCAGATGTTTGTCCCCCACAGCTTGATAACCCCTTGATAATCTGATGTAGTGTTGTTTTTTGAACCAAGCAAAAAGCTATCTAAGATGATACAACATCTTGAAACAAGCTGGCACAACTGGATGAAAATCCATCATTTGTTATATAAATTCTGTTGTGTTAGATCCATTTATACTCCTTCCCCCACCCCACCAAATCACCCCTCAAATGATTCTTTTATTTGCTAAATCTCCCGAAGATACCTACCATGGACTGAACAGGGTGAGGGCTTTTAGTTTAGTTTTTAGTTTTTTGTTTTGTCTTTATTAAAATAACATCAAGTTTTGCTTAAGTACTTTTTTCATTAGAAGAATTTTTTTGGTAATGTCTTATGTGACTGTTACAGTTACATTCATATTAGAAGACGTTTTAGCTAGAAGATACTCGGAATTTAAATGTACTTATTGCTGGAGTTTTGAGAGGAGTCCAATTACTGACTCTGGTTTTAATTATTTTCATTGGGGTCCATTTCTTTCTGAAAGCAATAAAAATAATGCTTTTTCCTTGTGGGTTCCTCTCTTCCAATTGCAGATATCACCATGTGGGTAAATTTTACCTCCCTGCACTCCTGCAGTGTAGAACCCTTTTTTTTTTTTTTTTTTTTCTTTTCACCTTCCTATTGATGGAAGATGTGGAAGTTGAAGAGAACTTGCAGGCTGTTTGTCCTGTGCTGTATGGAGCTGGGAAGCCTGAAAAAGGGGATGAAGTTGTAGAAGAGAAACTTTGGAATGACTTGTATCCAGACTGGGAGCTGCAGTATCTGAAGAGAGGCATCTGGGCTCGTCCCAGGAAAACTTACATCACCTGAAGGCTGGATGCCAGACATCACTGATAGGAGAAATCTCCAGCTGCTCCAAGGTTTATACTGGCTTCCTTACTCCCATGCTGGAGTAAGCAAAACATAACCTGATGTAGCACCCAGGAAAGGTTGCTGACCTGTTTGGAAGAGGAGTCTTGCGAAAAATCAAAATAAAGCACTGGCAGTGTTGCTTAATAGCAGTTTGTGGAGGAGCCAGAAATCAAATCAAAGTTGCAGCCGAGTGCTTTGAATTCTTCCCAACTTTTAGGAACTCCTCATATTTTAAGAGTTTAGACTAAAAAACCTCATCAGCCTTGCAAGTCACATATACTCAATTCTCTTTTTCAGAATGAAGTCCCTGATGGAATCAGAGCTGGCAGTTACAAGGTATGTCAACATGCACAAAATAACACTGGTTATTGGACTTGTTTTGTGTCATTCCAGTTGTTAAAAAAGCTGTTGGAGACTGTTGCAAGTCCCTGCAATAATTGCCACAATTGCATGAGCTTCTAAATATCTGCAGAGATCTTGTGGAAGTACAGGATGAAATGAATCATAAAAGTGTTTCTGAGGCTTAGACTGTTTGGCATGTTAAAGGCAGAATTCTAACAATAATAAAGCTGCTTTATAATCCTCCCTCCCCACCCCCTGGCTTTTCACCACAGTATTCGGAAGAAGCCAATAACCTTGCTGAAGAATGTGAAGAAGCCGAGAGACTTGGAGCTGTTGACGGGTCTTTGAGGTTTGACTTCTTTTTCCACAATCCTTGTTGGCCTTGAAGGAAACCTCATATCAATGTCCTTTCCAATAGTCCTTTCCTGTGCTCTCTGCAGTGAGGAGACCCAGGCAGCTGTGGCTCGGTGGACGCGGCACGACGACTCTTCGGACAGCTTCTGCGAAGCGGATGGTAGGGGACCTGCTTGATGTGACAAATTTTGTAGTGCGATTTAAGCTCTTCAAATTCTCTGCAGAATTTCCAGGCCCATGTGTAACTCTAGCCAGCTTGCAGCATATATGGCCTCGTTACCCTCTCTTTCCATGTTTTGAAAATAACAGGAGGTAAATGTTCCTGACAAAGCTTTGTTGCTGATCAGGGTCCCCGCTGTAATGGGTTGGTGTGCAGAAATGCTGCAATATATGTGTCTTTTTGGAGAGGGACGAGCTGGTCTCTTTACAAGACTGTTCATGGTGTGAAAGGGTGACTGGGAAGGTGTCATTTTCCCTCGGAATCTTTTGGCACTGACCCAGCACTCTCCTTTGCAGACATCCACTCTCCTGATGCAGAGTACGTGGACTTGCTGCTGAATCCTGAGCGCTACACTGGCTACAAAGGACCAGATGCCTGGAAAATCTGGAATAGCATCTACGAAGAAAATTGTTTCAAGTAGGTGCTTTGGGAGACAGGCTGCACTCGCCATCAGTTACTGACTTTGCAGAGGGACTGCACGTGTTTTGACTGCTCCATCAGTCCCCGTTCTGTGCTCCTTGCTGCAGTGGGTGCTCAGTGTGGGCTTTGGGCTTCTCCTGGCATTGCTGCACAGCACTGATGGGCAAGAGATATGGAACTGTAGCCTCATTCTCCCCATTCACAGCAGTGCATCTGCAGCATCAAGTGTGTGGTATAATGTCTGCTACCAGTTGTTTAGACATGTGAGTTTTCCTGATCACAGACACACCTCCATAGCTTTTTCTTTTGAGAACTACATATGTCTCTGCCCTTTCCTGACTGAGCAACGTTAAAAGGCAGGAGTTTTTCTTAAATCTCCTTAGGCTGTGTGATTACTGGGAGGTAGTTTTCTGCACAGCAGAGACTTAGATAAGTTACTTGAATCATTTTTCTCTCTTAGGCCTCAAAGTATAAAAAGACCTTTGGCACCTGGTAGAGGTGAGTCATTTATTCATCTTGCTAAATCTCTTGGTAGTGTGCTCATGTGAGCTCCAGGAGCTATCTGAGCTGCTTCTCTGCTTCATGAGGAAATATGTCTTGGTTCTTGATCAAGCCTAGAATTTTATGGGTGATCTAAAGGGTGCTTTGAAGCTTGTCTTTCTGGCATTCATCATCTAGAAACAGAACCCGATTTGCTGCTTGTGGAAGAAATGGGAACTTTGGTGGGACTGGGAGCAGGACTAAGCCTTGAGTTCTCCCTGGATATGTGATTTCTGTGTTCAGCAGTGTTGGACGCATCCATGAAGGCCTGAAATAAGACCCTGCCCGGATCCTGTGTGGAAACCACTTAGTTAAGACAAACTCTGTGTTAGAGGCATTTAAGAACAGAGTGAAAGTAGGGAAGGGATTCGAAAGCAGGAGTTCTTGACCAAGTTGCAATGAGCTCCTGCATCTCCTGAAGCCCCTTTCTACCTAAACACCTTGTACCTGCTGCCCTGTTCCCCTTTTGTTTGTCCTGAGCCCTTTGGTTTGACATGTCATGTTATTTATACCCAAGAGAAGCTTGTTCAAAACAGCTATCTGAAGACCAATGCAGCAGTGCCTTCTGGATTATCCCTGATTTTTGTTTTCCTACGCTGTGTAGGAGCTCTGCCCCATTCTTTGACCAACCCTTGTGCAAAGGGCAGTGCTGCAGGAGCAGCTCTGGTGAAGGGAGTATGCAATAGCAACTTCAGTATCCCTGCTTCCTTCTCTTGGTGACTCCTGTTGTTTGGTGCAAAATATAAAAGAAGTAGCATAGGTCTCTTGAGAGGACAGGGAAGGATTGGTATTTTGCAAATGAGGAAACAGGAGGACATAAAAATAGGTGGTGTGACCTAATATCTGTCAGAGTTGCTGCTAGTGACTGTATTTGCTGCAGCAAGTAGGGATGGAATAACCTGCTGGAGGTCATACAGGAGATCTATAGCAGAGCTGTAGGCAGTTACATTCTCTGTTCTAGCTTCAACTCTTACTTCTTTGGCAAACATTGATCCATCCTGTGCTAGGCAGGTTATTCAGGAGCGTTGCTTATCGTTGCCTGCGGTTTGAGATGCTGTTTTGTGTGTTTACAATATTCCTAAACTTCCCTGGAGATACTTGTTCTCTTGTCAGAGCAGAATAACAAAGCGATCTTGATGCTGCTGCTTCAGTTTATTTTTGGTCATGTGTAATTTTTATCCCCTCTCTTCTCTCTCTCTCCTGTTCTCCTCGTGCTCTTCTCATCAGGAGATGATGGAGGTGAGTAGCACCCTGTTTGTTTTTCCTGATAATGGTAACAAATGCAGAGTCTTTATCATGGTCTGTCGTGAACTGCAGCATTTGTGTAGTGCACCCAGTTAGCAAAATCACTGCGCAGGCAAAATCAGAAGTAGTCTTGAAATTCTGCTCTTTTGAGGGCCCTGTGGGGCTCCCTCCAAGCCCCAGTTGCTGAGGCCAGCCCGTCCTTGGGTGGATGTTTTAAGAAGCATCTGCTGGTTTTTGGAGCCCAAGTCCCGTTTGAAAATCAATTATTGACTGTCCCGAGGCTTCAGGAACAAGACTTACTGTGTGCACCATTCTGGTGCGGCGGAAAAGCATCTTTCAAAGGCCTTAAATGTGGAGCTTTCCAAAGAACTGCAGTGCCAACAGCCTCTGGTCTCTGGCAGAAATTGAGTGCCTAATGGTCCCCTTCTAAAAGGGTGGCCGAAGTAGCTTAAACCAGTAATGATATTTTAAAGCCCTCCTGCTCTCACAGGCTGTTTCCCTCATGTGCTCATTTTCCTTTTGTTTCCAGGACGCACTTTTTACAACTGGCTGAAAGGTAAGGCTTTTTTTTCCAAACTTGGTTGCTTCTTTCATGATGAATGCAAAACAGCCCGGGTGTGGGTGGGAATTATTTGTCACGCTCAAATGAGATTATATTTCTGTCTGACAGGCAGGAAAAGAAAATGCACGGTATGTTTTCAACAGCTTGAAATGCCCGTTACTTTTTCAGATATCTGCGTGGAGAAACGAGCTTTCTACAGACTTATTTCTGGTCTCCATGCAAGCATCAACATTCATTTGAGTGCCAGATATCTCTTGCAAGGTAAGTGCCACTTTCTGAGTTGACCCTCTGGTTTCAGCTGTAAATTGACACCAGACAGTTGACTTCTGTGGCTCAGCCCATTCCAGCAAAGTTTGGGCCTGTTTCTGTGCTCTTCTCCTTCCCTTAGCACACTGGTAGCCACTGGTTGTATAAGGAAGTCAGGAATGCAGCTGCCACGTGGCGTTAGGTCTGCAAATGCTTGAGCTGTGCTCCTTACCTGGGCCTGCAGCTTTTATTCCTTTCAGTCTTCCTCCAAGCTTACTTTGGAGTGGGTTTCCACCTGCCTAGCTGCTTCTTTCTAGCCCATCTCTGGCAGTTCAGCAACAATCTCCCCTAGACTATGAGTGGTTTGGCTGGAATTTTCCAATATCCTTGAGGAGTTTCCATATACCGTTTTGTTTCCTTTGCATACCTTTGTCCACAGTTAGCTATCTGAAGTATTGTCGTAGTTCTAAGTGGTACCTGTGGACAAAGCCTAGCAGCTTTATGCTGTTAAAGCTTACAAAAATCAAGAACAGGAGATATGCAAATTCCTACAGCTATCTCAAATTTATAAGTAATTCTGATTGAACTAAGTAATTAGATTCAAGTCTCTACAGACCCAAAGGCCTCACCTTGATGTCAGTTGACTATGTTAGACCCTTAGGAGATAGAATAACAAGAGAAATATCAAAGATCAGAGATGAATTGGAACTGCAAAAAGAGGTTATGAAATAAGCTTGGTTACAGATAGACAAGCAAAGATCCATGTTTTTCCTTATGTAGAACCAGATAGTTTCTGTTGGTGGAAGGCTGTAGAAAAGGGCCTCTGCTCCAATAAGATGTGCTTCTCTGTTCACCTCGCATCCATGCAGAGATTCCCATCTGTGGAGGCCGTGCTAGAAAGCTTAGCTCCTCACACTGAGGTTAAGGAGTCACAGCAGCTCGTCAGTGGCTGGTGTTGAGGGCAGGAATGAAGAAACAAAAGGGCCTGGGACCTTCACAGCATGTTCAGTGCATCCATGCTGGCCTTTGAACTTGCAGAGAATTGCTGACCTAGCACCAGCAGGTTCATAAAACTGCTCTTAGAAACAGTCCATGCAGCTGATGGAAAACCCTAGAACTGACTTAATTGTTATAACAGCCAATGTCTTTTTTTAGCTTTTTCTTGTAAACATGAGTGTTTTAAACTAACTTCAATCTGTAAGACTTTTGTGTCCATTGGTTTTGTTAAAAAACGTGCCCCTCTCGACCCCTGAGAACGTGGGGAGAATGAGAGCACTATGACTGTTGTGAGTCACAGGCTTCCTTGGGACACAGACTTACATTTCATCATTTAGGTTGGGGCAATGGGATGAGATCAGCTAAAACTATAACCATTCACCTTATTTCTGCGTTTTGCTCTCTCAGATACGTGGTCAGAGAAGAAATGGGGCCCCAACGTTACGGAGTTCCAGCAGAGATTCGACGAAGTCCTCACCAGAGGGGAAGGTCCCAGGAGACTCAAGAACCTGTATTTCCTCTACCTGATAGAGCTGCGGGCCCTGTCCAAAGCGTTGCCCTTCTTTGAGCGCCCAGGTTTCCAGCTCTACACAGGAAATAAAATTCATGATGCCGAGATCAAAACCCTGTTGCTGGAAATCCTCCATCTGGCCAAGTAAATATATCCAGTTCTGGGGAGAATGGCTCTTTCAACCTTGCTGTCTCTGTGCACATTTAACCTTTCACTTAAAGCACCTAGAAAGGCAGGTGCTGGGTTCTTTCTGGCAGTGGGATAACATGATGTGTGCAGCAGGGTGGTGCTGCTTGAGAGCACATTGGTATCTGAATTCAAATTGCAAAACAAGGTAATTAAGCCCACAGTTTAATGGCTTAGACTGCCTTTTGATTTAGCAAAATTAAGTTTAATAACCACCTACATGTCAGCCTTGAAAATGGTTTTTGACTTGCCCATGGAATGGCAGTCATATTTTTGTCCGGAATAAATCCTAAACATTTTGGTAACAGAGATTTGGGCTGCTGGACAGAGTTTGGAGAAAGGGAATGCAGGATAGCAAACCAGATGTGAATGGCCGTCTCCTGAAGGAGTCTGCCTGACTCTATCCTGCCACTTTCCCCTGCCTTCAGTGGTTATGTCGGTTAGAAAACAGATTACAATTGCTTAGAAACCGTAGAACAACAGCTGAAAATCTCTCCAAGGTGAGATGTAAGCTAAAATGGAAAGCTCCTAAGAGATTGAAGAAACAGCTTACATTAAAAAAAGAAGGAAAGAAAGAAAGAAAGAAGGTGGTTAGGCATCTAATACCTATTGATTTCATCTGCATGCCTAAGCCGATACTTTTGTGGCTCTGGATTTAAGTGGTACAATCTTAGAAAGATAAAACTTTTTTCTTTTTCCCGTTCCATTTCAGGTCTTTCCCTCTGCATTTTGATGAAAAATCATTTTTTGCGGGGAATAAAAAAGAAGCTGCTAAACTCAAGGTAATTGCTCACCCCTTCCCTTTGGGGCACTTGCTGCTGAAAGAACATTCACACTTGTGTCTGGGATGATATTAGATCTGACAGGGACCTCAGTAAGCTCAAGGTACCAGGTGGGCTGTTTCCATTTCCTTTTGCTCCCAAATGCTCTGGGGACTGGTGAGAGGCTGCGGATCTCAGGGTACACCCCAAGGAAGGTGGTGAGTTGCTTCCGAGGACCCCACTTCAGGAAGCCTTAGACTAACTCGGGCTGGCTGAACTCAGCCTGAGGGCTAGCATTAATGTATTATTGGATTTGTTTAGATTAATGCAGGGAAGATGTCCTAATTAGTGTGTTTAACCATGATCAACTTTAAATGTGTTTTTTCCCCTAGGAGGAATTCAGGCTACACTTTAAGAATATTTCTAGGATAATGGACTGTGTTGGCTGCTTCAAATGTCGCCTCTGGGGGAAGCTGCAGGTAAGTTTTGTCAGCAGTTCGGTGCACGCCGGGAAACCTCTCGTGTGATGGACTCTGGTGTGCAGATGCAGCAACTAGATGCTAATCAGCCCCCATACA